AAGTGGTGGATAAATTCCCAGTCAGTGCACATGCCCACGTTGCAGATTCAATATGGGAAACATACGGAACAATGTTTCTCTCTCACATCAATGTTTCTCTCTCCTTTCTTCTCTCTGAGATTAATTAAAATAAATGATAAATAACGTTCTATACGTATGGTTTTAACAGGAAAGACATTAGTGAACTATGAAGTGAAAAACTCGTTATAACACATATATACATATATACAACATGACCCCATTTTTTAAAAAAATATTTATTGATTTCAGAGGAAGGGTGAGGGAGAGATAGATAGAAACATCAATGATGAGAATCATTGATCCGCTGCCTCCTGCATGCCCCTACTGAGGATCAAGCCCAAAACCTGACCGGGAATCATACTGTGACCTCCTGGTTCATAGATGGATGCTCAACCACTGAGCCCTACCAGCTGGGCTCCACTTTTATCAATACCAGGCACATGAGATCTCACTCCTAGACAAAAGTCTGAAATTGCCCAAACTCCTCTGCAGCTAGGTTTCTGGATATGAATTTGTTCCTGCCGATAAGATGTGCTTGCACAATATTTTGAAGGCAGAAGTGGGGCAGAGGCATCTTCCCGCAGTTTGGGCTGTTGCTGCTGGTGATCATGTTTGCAGAGATGTGGAGGTTTTCTGAAGCGGAATCCAGGCCTGGGGGCCCAGCCTAATACCTACTCCTTCAGCTTTCCGATGATTTCCCAAGCACCAATTCTCTGTACTAAATTCTTTCCTGCCTAAAATAGCAAAGATCTAAAAACATGTTGGATCCTCTACTTTCAACAAAAACCACGCTGCACAGGGTCAGGTATTAGAAGTGGGTGAGGTGTTGCGGAAGGCTCCCTTCTTTGAGTCTCAGCTTCCTCTTCTGTAGAACCGAGACCAACGATTATCTGTTCATAGTTACTGAAGACCATGGCAGCTGTTTCCCGAAGATGGCCACAACATTTCCCATCCCTTCTGTTGCCTTGCCACTTTCCACTACATCCTCTCTCTTGAAGTGGGGCAGACCTCTTGAATTCCAAGGCCAAGGCCGAAAAGGCGTGGGGCTGCAGCCCCGCCCACCTCACCAGGGTTTCCAGCTCGAGCCCTGCCCACGCTGCTAGCTGCTCGGGGCTCTGTCTGGTGCGGGGCCTTGCCCTCCTGGCTCACTTCCCCTCCTGTCTGCCGCCCAGCGCCTCGCTGCACATCATGGCCCACGTCGGGCCTCACACCTCCTGGCTCCTATGTGCCGCTTCCCCCTGCTGCTGTTCCAACCGAGCCAGACACCCAGGTGCTGTGCGCGGCCGCGGGGACTGCTATGGTCACCAGGAAAGCCTCCCCACCCCATCCCTGACTCCAGCGCCCTGATCCCAGGCCCACTTCTGCCAAAGGAGAGCTTTACCCGTGCAGCTGCCCGAGACTGAGACCGAGCACCTCCAAGGTCCCCGGACCCCAAATTTCTGCTGGCCAAGGCGGTTGGCCGGCTGGCCCCGCCCTGATCCGGGTGTTGGGGGCAATCCGGCCCAGATCAGACCTGTTCGCTGGCCTCAGTGGGTGTCATAGCGACTGGTCGTTAGGTCGTTATGGTCGTGCGGGCACTACAGTCTCTGGCTTTTTATATATATAGATACAACTTTCTAGGCTCTACCGCTAGAGATTTTGATTGTGTTGGTGTGGGTTAGGACCCAAGAAAATGTATATTTTAAAAACATACCAGGGCCCTAGCTGGTTTGACTCAGTGGATAGAGCGTTGGCTGTGGACTGAAGGGTCCTGGGTTCGATTCTAGTCAAGCGCACATGCCTGGGTTGTGGGCTTGATCCCCAGATGTTTCTATCTTTCTCTCCCTCTCCCTTCCTCTCTGAAATCAATAAAAATATATAAAAGTAAATAAATAAATAAAAGCTGTTGAGCAAAAATATGTTACTTAAAAATAAATAAATAAATAAATAATAGATAGATAAAAGCATACCAGGCACTCTATGGACCAAACTTTGAGAAACACTAGGACCAGCCCTGGTGGGGTAGTTCAATTGGTTAGAGCATCATCCTGATATGCCAAGGTTGTGGATTCGATCTCCAATCAGGGTACATATAAGAAGCAACCAATGAATGCATAAAATCAATAAAATTTTAAAAGAGAGAAAGAAAAACACTATGACTAGAAATATGTCATTTTCTCTTTTGAATTTTATTTAATTTTTTTTAATATATGTATTTTTTATTGATTTCAGAGTAAAGGAAAGGGAGAGGGAGATAGAAACATCAATGATGAGAGGGAATCATTGATTGGCTGCCTCCTGCACACCCCACACTGAGGATGGAGCCGCAACCCAGGCATGTGCCCTGACCAGGAATCGAACTGTGACCTCCTGGTTCATAAATGATAACCACTGAACCACGCTGGCTGGGCTTTAATTTAATTATTAATTTTTATTTTTTAATTGATTTTTAGAGAGAGATGAAAGGAGAGAGAGAAAGAGAAACATCTATGTGAGAGCAAAACAGATTGGCTGCCTCCTGTAAACCCCCTACCTGGGATTGAGTCCAAAACTCCAGCATGTGTCCTGACCAGGAATCGAATAGGTAACCTTTCAGTGCATGGGATAATGCCCAACCAAGTGAACCACACTGGCCAGGGCCCCCCTGAATTTTATATCTACATTTCTAGTTATTGCTATAAGATGTTAGTGATTTAAGTTCTTCAAATAGATGATAATTGGTTTTGTTAAGGTTAATGTTTTCCTAAGAAGAAACATAACTTATCAAAAGCATACAGTGTAATTAAACATAGAAAGAGAACTAAATATATTATAACTTTGATAATACCATTTAAGTGCACTAGTTTAAGTATCGATGAGTATCACTTCATTGTTTAACTATTATCAATTGCTGTTTATTAAGACTCAGTGCTCTGAAGATATTAGGTACCCAATAAATATTTGCTGAGCTGAGTATGTTTTCTTTCCATTTTTAACTATCTCCATTAATTAAAAAGCAGCTTTACATTGTAGGTGGTACTTACTCATTTTAGTTGGTTTTGTAGAATCTGGGTAAGAGCTACGCTTGAAGCCTGTAATTATTTGGCTACTGGCTACTGTAATTACTTTGAGCCTTATAAGACCTGTCTTTTCATGACTGAAAGGCTGTAGGCTGGGCTGGAACTGCCTTGTTCCTAATCCTTGATTGGCTTCTTTATTTAAGTGATATTAATTATGAAACTTTTTTTCCTCTTCCCACCTGCTCTCCTGTGTTCTAACCCTGGGGTTTTATTTGGAGTTTTACTGAAAGTCCCTAACTTTTACCTGCCCTTACTAAACATTTAAATTGTACTAGTAAAATAGTTTTTAAAAATAGTATATTAGTAATATTAGGCCAGGCTTTGTTGTAGATGCAAATAAACGTATGGCTCAACACAACAGATGTCTTATTTTTTCATTCATGTAAAGCTGGTATGAGTCAAGCCAACTTCTCTTCTAGAGGGTGACAGGGATTCAGACTTCCTCCATCTTAAAAGGCCACTATTCCAACACCTCAGTTCCCGTACTTTGGACCAGAAGTGTGGTATGTGTCACTTCAGTTCACAGCCCATTGGTCAGAACTAGTCACATTGTCCCAACCTAGTACCAGGGACTCTGGGAAATGCCGGGGAGCACAGGGAGTATTTGGTGAACACTCTTGTTTCTGCCATAGTTAATTATTTCTCAGTTCTAAAAGTTAGAAAATGCAGAACTGGTTATTCCTTTATGTTGTTGTTGTTAATCCTCACCCAAGGATATTTTTTCATTGAGTTTTAGAGACAGTGGAAGGAAGGGAGAGAGACTTAAGAGAGA